TACATCTGCAATCCATTTTAGTTTTTTCTGCTGTTGGTAGTCTTCAAGTTGTTTCTGTTATTTGGTACAGTTCGTTGTTTGTGATTCTGTAGCGCCAGTCCACCATGTTCAAAGCAGGATGATCTTTGCTAAGACCTTAATGCTTTACTCGTTCAAAGTATTTTGTTCACCACTGATCTTAGGAAGCGGCTGCATGCAGTTGACAGTTTAGATATTTCTGAACGTGTATGGCGTCATGTATGACATCGAGATGAAAGTCTCGATCTAACAACGATATTTAAAAAAGATGACACGAGTTTTCAGGTTGATGCTTTGCTTTCGTAAAAAATTGTGGTGTAGGATGAAACTACATCTGGCGCAAACTATTCTATGTTCAATTTCTTTAGGTCCACCTATCGTCCGGTTGAGACTTCTTTTGAACAGGAGTAGCACCCATTGTCTCCTGTTTAGGATTGGGTTTCCAGCTCCTTCTAAAATCTTTTCATTCTCTTTCACTCCCAGCATCTCTCTTGTGTATTAGTGGCATTGTCGTCTTGCTTGGCGTGAATTGATTAAAACAATGATGAAAAAGATGAAGAAGTGACATAAATGCGGCTCTACAGAAGGGTGTTGGGAATACATTGGACAGAACATGTGAGTAATGACGAAGTTTTAGAGAACACGGAAACGAAAAAGACACTTATAATTAGAACGAGAAAAGAACAGTTGAAATTTATAATGAGGAAAGAGGGCTTAGAAAATTTGACAATCACAGGAGATATTGAAGGCAAGAGAGACAGACGGGAACAGCGCATAACCTACCCAACTAGTTTGTGTATATAGTTAGCAAAACAGGTGTTAGCGAAAATTTTCTAAGAGCTATAAAGACGCGAAATTGTGAAGAGCCATGATCGCCCACATCCCGAAAAACATGGCACATAGAAGAAGAAGGATGTGGAGGTAAAGTAATGATTATCGGCGCAGAAAATGAAATCGGCGAGCCGAGTTCAATTTCACCTAGTCTGTTGCACTCACTTTTACACTAACGCTCTTGTGAAAGGTATGAATCCAGATCTTTTCTCATCAGCTACGGGTGAAATAACAATGTGCATTGGGCATTTTAGCCAGACAATTCCTACACACAAGCCATCGATCTCTCCACTGGATGACATGCCACTAGTTGGTGGCTCGCTGTCGGACCGCCGGCGTGTTTGTCTCGGCAGTGTTATCTCTGGCGGATCGCTAGTGGCCCACCAGTGTCAGCCAATGGCTGCCACCAGAGGATCGCTGGCGTTACCATCGGTGGACCACCGGCGTGCCACTAGAAGCATGCTTGTAGAGGACTATAAGAATGACTACGAATTCAAAACTGTGGTAAAGGCAACGAGATACCATTCTACTATATTTTTCAAAAAATCATGGAAATTCACAGATAATAAAGAAACGGAATCTGTGGAGAGCCATGATCGCTTATGTCTTGAAAGGACATGGCGTTTAAAAGAAGTAAATGTTCAGTAAATATTAAAACAGCTGAATATACAAAAGACAAGTTGAAGATACCAATACCAAGTAAGTACGAAAGGGTAAATATCTGGGAAGTGGTTTAACAGAGGACAGAAAGTACGACACCGAAATCTGTATCTACATTGGGATAGCGAAAGAGGCCTTCTTAAAGCTAAGCAAAGTATTAACAAACAGAAACATAAATAACTAGACAACATTTCGCTTTTGCGTATCAACACATGTCTTGATAAAGTCGAATGACGAAATGTGTCGTCAAGGACGAAGAACTATTTTCCAATTATCACACACACACACACACACACACACACACACACACACACACACACACACATATATATATATATATATATATATATATATATATATATATATATATAATCATCGATCGCTGTATCACAACTCTTCAATGTGGCGAGACACGCGATTGCTTTAAGCCGGGATCGTAACTCGACCGATTTGACATCAATCGGAGACTCTTATCCCTATATATATATATATATATATATATATATATATATATATATATATATATATATATATATATATATATATATATTTAATGTTATAATGTGCAGTAGTTTTAGTTTAATTTTCAATGAACAATGCAATTTTTAAACATTTTGTGTTATAATTTGTGCCCAGCAGTATTACACATCTATCTATCTATCTATCTATCTATCTATCTAGCTAGCTAGCTAGCTATTGTGTGTATTTAGGCAGAAATTTTTCATTGATACATGTTTCATTAAATAATATAGACAAATTTTGTCTATTTATTTTAAGTAAGTTCCTTTCGTATTGTCTGATAAGCTTAATAGCATTTTGAAAGACGAAAGGAAATCACCATATTGATACATGTTTTTAATCCTGTCTAAGCTTTCGGCTTACATAAGCCATTATCAAAGATGACTATTACATTTCAATATATCAAACAATACACGGACAAAACAATTATGATAGTCTGTTTTTTGTTGCATGAAAATTTCAAAGCAACAACAAACTCGTGTATACGAGACGCGGAAGCGAAAATCGGATCGCAGCTCGTGACGTCAGAAATGACCACACGAGAGTGAAAAACGAAGTATTATATATATATATATATATATATATATATATATATATATATATATATATTAAATATATATATATATATATATATATATATATATATATATATATATATATATATATATATATATGTACCTCCACAACCTCGCTGAAAAGAAGATACATTATGAAAAAATGTACAAAACATTAAAAAAAAAAAATTATCTTTGCTATCAACGCGGAACCATAAATTTGTACGGGAAATTTTAGCGTCTTTTTGCGGTGAAATATACATTGATTAGAAATTCTTGCAAAAAATAGATTGTCGGATTTTAACAAAACTTAAATTTTGTTTTAAACATTTCTGTAAATTTATTTTTTTTCCTTTATTATCCCCTACGCATTTAATTTGATGAAGTCTTCAGAGAATTTAAATATTTTTTGGGGGGTTAAACACATATCCGAGTTACTTAAACTCTTCTCTCTTTTGTAATTAAAATGCAATAAAACTAAGACATTATTTTATTACAAATGCTTTCAGCTGCTTTTATGAATAAAAATATATTTTGGACATTATTGTCTTAAGAAAAAAATTTTCAGTGAATAATGAATTTTTACAAACAGTTTTTTCATCTTTAAAAATTTTAATAAGAGTAATTTATAAACTTTTAAATCTTTTAAAACTCACTGTTAACTTGTAGCGGTCATGTGATATTCTTATTAAATAAAAACTATTTACTGTATAAATGGAAAAGCACACTACGATTCAATGACGCCCAGTATTTAAAAAAAAAGTATTTGCTCTCTGTGTATAAATGTGTCGATGTTTGTAGATACGGATGTCCTTGCGAGACATTATTAGAAAATTACCAATAATTTTAAAATTTACTTAGTAATTTTCTTATATTTTCTCAACAAGCGTCATCGTAAGTAGGACTATAAAGTCAAACTACGTAAAATTCAATAAAATAATAGAATGATTAAATTATTAATTTTTTTTCGGATCACTGGGTAGTTAAAAAATTATATAAAAAGTCTTTTACGTTGTATCATTTAGATTCTCATAAAACACGCACCTCCGTGTTCAAATGCTATATTTTAAACTAGAATTGTATAATATTTAAACTAGAAGTGTATAATATTTAATAATAAGTGTATAATATTTAAACTAGAAGTGTATAATATTTGTTCCAGTTCAGGTTAAACTTTAAATCAGCTAATTTTTCTCAAATAAAATTTTAGAAAAGTGTATTTTAGTTTTGAAAGATTTAAGTTGTGTTGTCAGTATGGACAATTTTATAGATTTCACTGATAATCAGAAAAAAGTAATTCCAATCAATTTAAATTCAGCTGGAAATTCAGCAAAGTATTTTACTTATTGAGAATATTAAATTTAATATATTAGCTTTAATATAAAAGCTTCAATAAAAATTTATTAAAATGCACTCCCCGTCCTGGGTATGACGATAAACTACATCCGACAGCAAGGTCTCTGTTCAAGTGGTTTTTCGGGTCGTGGAACCACCTTTTAATTGCTCGTGTTCCCAGGTCCACACTGACCCAGCTATGGGCAAATAGTTACCCCCCCCAAAAAAAAAAAGGGGGTTAAAATACTATGAAAATATAGAAATAGGCTCTAATACCAGCATTACGTTTCTTTACCAGCAATAAATTTTTGAAGAAAAAATTATTTCCCGCAATACATTACCAGCAGTACATTTTATTTTTTTTTTTAAATATTACCATCAGTACATTTTTTGAAAAAAAATATTACCAACAATATAATTTTAAAAAAATATTACCATCAATGAAAATTTTGGCATTAATAAGCCATTGAGGTTTATATCCCGTAAAACAAAACAAACCAAACCAACATGCACTTTAAACCTTAGAAATTACTATTTTGGAGGTATCTTTTGAAGGTGTATATATATATATATATATATATATATATATATATATATATATATATATATATATACACACACACATGCACACACATACACACACATATAGATATATATATAGAGAGAGAGATAGAGAGAAAGAAAGATAAACGACTGGCATTTACACACACACACACACACACACACACACATTTTCCAAGTCTTTTTCGTTTTCTGAGGAAACGAGTTTAAACATTGCGTTTAGGTTCAAAATCGTAGGGTTGGAATTTCTTTACCGTGATCCGTGAAAGCTTTTATAGCACGGCCTTATAAAATGTATAATCATTGAAGCTTCACAAATTACATATGGATAAGATGCATGGCACAAGAAGATAATTACTAAATCGTTGGGCCATCAAATAAGACCTTCATTTCTTTCAATGGGAAATTACAATAAAAAAATTTGCTATATTATGATTAAATGTTATAATGTGCAATAGTTTTAGTTTGATTTTCAATGAACAATGCAATTTTTAAACATTTTGTCTTATAATTTGTGCCCAGCAGTATTACACTTCTATCTATCTATCTATCTATCTATCGATCTATCTATCTATCTATCGTGTGTATTTAGGCAGACATTTTTCATTGATACATGTTTCATTAAATAATATAGACAAATTTTGTCTATTTATTTTAAGTAAGTTCCTTTCATATTGTCTGATAAAATCCATAATGATACATGTTTTTAATCCTATCTAAGCTTTCGGCTTACATAAGCCATTATCAAAGATGACTATTACATTTCAATATATCAAACAATACACGGACAAAACAATTATGATGGTCTGTTTTTGTTGCATGAAACACTTCAAAGCAACGACAAAATCGTGTATACGAGACGCGGAAGCGAAAATCGGATCGCAGCTCGTGACGTCAGAAATGACCACACAAGAGTGAAAACGGGAAGTATTAAGTATGGGAAGCCGTTGGTATAAACCAGTGGCTTCTGTTATCAATTATAAGCATTTAAGAATATTTGTGGAAATTTCATAGTTTATTTTGTTCAGGTTAGGTTTCAACTGTTTTATGTATAAACCAAGAATTTTAGTTTTAGTTCTCTATATTATTTAATGAAACATTTATATATATATATATATATATATATGAAATTTCATCGAGTTTAAAACATAAATATATATATATATAGGTTGCACAAGCCATGAGTTCAAAAAAAGGTTTCACCATCAAAGTTTATTTAGGATAAATAAATATAAAAATCGAACATCTCCCTCAAAGTACTTCTGGCATCTAAAAGAATCCAATAAAACGCCTACTTGCATATTTTGCTTGTGATGATTCAAAATTAGAATTCTGCTTTGAACATATTTTCCATTCAATGTTTCTAATACAAAAATATCAACTTTATTTGGACTTATTCTTGAAATCGCAACATTTTGAAGTCAGTTTGTCAGCAAAAACCTGCAGAAATTTCTATATATTTTTTCAGTCAAATTTAAAACGAAATACTCAAGAATTGATCAAAGCTATGAATTTAATTTTTGGTGACAGTACTTATCACAGCAAACCGCAGCTTTCGAACTGGGGGCAAGGTTGATTTTCCTAAAAGAACCGAAAACTCAACCTGTCCTATTGTCCAGGGAGGGCAATTGCATCTTTGTAAAGTGGTTGAAAACCATATCTCCAGTTGACCTAAGCCTTTTCAGTGAAATTGGGTAGAGGGATGTCTGTGCTAGTATGAAGTCACACGTCATCGTGACTGAGGGTTTGAGTGCACCGGCCTTGTTCAAACTGTAGATCACGCTTGATGATACGTTCTCTTCTAGAAACTGTAACTAAACCCCACTCTCAGCATACTTGCAGTACAAACCAGAGGTGGTCTCTGTGGGTTTTGCAAAGACATATATATATATATATATATATATATATATATGTGTGTGTGTGTGTGTGTGTGTGTGTGTGTGTGTGTGAAAGTGGACTTTTGAAGTCAGCAGAAAGACCGACAATCCGTTTCATGGTGAATTTTTAAAAGGGAAGCTTAAATATTAATGCAATATTTAAATTCAGTGATCAATTTTGAGTTCTTCTGTAGTTTATTGTTGTGTATCGCATACGACAGCAGTATGCCTGACAAAGAGAAATTTCCGTCAACAGAGGACCAGATTGCAAAACAAAAGAGCCAAGGTTGCAGAGAGGAAAAGGAAGTCCTGTGCAAATGAAAGCCCAACAGCCAGGAAAGCTTCCAATGTTGAGAATATACAAAGATTTATGAACTCTCGAACTCCAAAACATGCCGAAGGTTCAATCAAGAGCCCTCCACAGGAGTTAGCTTAAATGTTGCCATATAGGGCGGGTTTTGGGTTAGTATATATATATATATATATATATATATATATATATATATATATATATATACCTATGAACCTAAAGAGGCAGGCAAACCTACCTTGGTTTCATCTACGCGGATCGTCAGGCGTACCCTGAGTTAGATTGCCTCTACTTAGTGTATCGAGCAGTTTACTTAGTTACTTTTACTTTACTCGTTTTGGATGTTTTTTTTTCTTTGGACTTGGATTCTGGACGATTGTTTTCGCCTCAATTTAATGGCCTTAGTTCTTTCTTTTTTTATCCCTTATTTTTCCTTGGGTATTGTTTTTTCCATTGACAAACCAAAACATCTAAGGTTTTTCCAGAGGAGTATAATATATATATATATATGTGTGTGTATGTGTGTGTGTGTGTGTGTGTGTGTGTGTGTGTGTGTGTGTGTGTGTGTGTGTGTTTAAACGGTCATACATGAAACTAAGATTGTAAAATTCGGATTTCATCGGCAATTTTTTTATTCAAATTTATTTCTAATCCTGATTGTCGTAGTTTTTTTCAGCACCGTCTCGACCACAACCCTTCACTGTTTTCGCCTTTTGCTTACTACACCTGGAACTCTAAACGATTACTTACTTTCAACGTACTTTGATCGTAAATCTCAAAGAACTGTAGAGTCAAAACATTAAGTAAGATTTGAAAGGGCAAATAATTAGTTCCTCTGCAGAATGCTTAGCGACTTAAAAAGAAAAAAAAATCAAACTGGATTAAAACGTAATAGCTGTGTTATTTTCAAAGTGGAACGTAAAAAAGACGCCGACATATTTTATGATATTGGATACGCATGCGTGCATGACGGTTTTATTGATCGGTTCTCAAATAGAAAATGGGCCGAACGTTTTAAATAAATGGATATTAATTCGGCTTCAAGTGGTTTCTCTTCGCTCCTTTCATTTTTCTGTTTATTAACGCAAAGTGATCCGGTTACCGAGATCCTTGGTTAAATAATAATTAAATAGACTCTTGGCAGGGAATATTGTTTGTTCTTATTTTTCTGGGCGTTCTTTCTTCTTTTTCAATTTACTCCAGCCATTTTCCCTTTATTTAACACCACTTTTACTTACGTTTTTTTTTTATTTAATTTTATTTATATGTTGATTTTTTTACGATCTTTTTCCATATTTTGTGTCCTCATACTCTTTTCAAATTAAGGGCACCTCGAGTCGGTATAATGGTAAGTAGGCTTGTATCGCTAAAACAATTACAACTGAGTAATGAGTTCGATCCTCACTGGGTGCCCTCCTACTTTCGGCCTTGTGCCACATCTAAGCTACGCTTGGAAAATCGCTGGGCACCTCGGCGTGGTTTAATGGCTGGCAAGCTTGTCTCGCTAGATCAGTTACGACTGAAAAGTTAGTTCGATCCTCACTAGGTGCGCCGTACTTTCGGCCATGCACCACATCTAAGCTACGCTTAGAAAATTTGGGCACCTCGAGGTGGTGTAATGGTTAGCAAGCTTGTCTTGCTAGAACTATTACGACTAAGTAGTGAGTTCGATCCTCACTGGGTGCTCCATACTTTCGGCCTTGTGCTACATCTGAGCTACGTCTTGGAAAATTACTACTCGTTTCCAATTTTACTCGCCAAGGTTACAAAGACTCAAGGCGAAATGTAAATTTAAATTGGGGGGGATGGCGATAATTACCCAAACATTTATAATAAAAATTAATAACGACTGAGCAGAACCGGAAGAACATAGATGAAGCTTTTTATTTTATAAAAAGGGCATTTTTGAACAAAGTATAGCAATGTGCTACATGCCTTCTCCCCAACTCCGAAAAGGAAAACTAGTGGATGTTATAAAATATTTGTTACTCATACGTCCTGTTACAAGCGTCCTGGAGAGCATATTATCTTAGCAGCCCCTACCAGAAGCCTTGCTCCTCTGCTTAGTGTTAAATGACTTGACAAGCGAGGCGCATATTTATTGTGGAAGAGATAGGGGAGTTTACACAACATTGCGTAAATAAATGAATAAAACGAAGTAGTAATGATCTACAATCGTTTACAAATATTCTTTTGTGAACCAAAAAGTAAGCAGATAGAAAATTTATCAAGCACTTTTGAGATATTTTAGAAGGAAAACATACTTGAAGAGAAAATGCGAAATGAAATGAAAGGAGATTCGAAGGCGGTAAAAAAAGCGACTAGTAATATATTCCAAAAAGTGTCCTTTCAAGCGCGCAGGAAGTCTTGAACTTAGATGGATGTTTCCTGGTCCTGCTTTTGTTGTTAGTGTGACCTCCTTGGAGGCTTTCTTCACCAGTTAATGGATTACTTCTGTCGTTGGAGTTTTTCGACGACTGGATCAGCAATCTTAGTCCGATTACATATCGTCTGCTTTTGAAGTTCATGCAAACTGTGTGTCTTCTCTTAGATAATCTTTCGAGCATTTCCTTTTATAATTTTTAGAATGGATCTCTCGTCTTGCATTTCGTTTTCTCTATTGGTTTCTCTTTTATATTCCAGGGATGGCTAAACTTGCTTACTGTAAGTTAAAGTTCAGATGTTTGGGAGTTGCAAGACTTGGACAAAATTTGCACATACGTTTTTGTTACATACACATTAACATTAAACTCATGTTTTAATCTAATGGGGTCTCAATTCATATCTAGTAAATAATTATGAAGCTTGAAATTGTTATTATTTATCTATTTATATTAACTGTGATAAACCAACATATTTCCACAAGCGGCATAATTAAAGCTCAAAGAGGCTCATGTGGCTTGCGGGTTGTGATTTGCCCCCCGGTTTATACGATAATGAAAAAAGAAAATATTGACTATTTAAAAAGAACTTAGACGCATAAAACAAAAATATAATCGGTCATATATCTATTTGCCAGTTGCCATCTGATATCAAGTGACATATTAGACCCCCCAAGAGTAACTTTTTTACTCTATTATTCACTCAGTTGCTCAAGAGTCCCTCAAACTAGAGAGTTACTGAATCAGAATGTCGTAAGAGTATGCAAGAGGTTGTAAGAGATTCGCATTATGAGAATATATAGGATAGGTAATTTTGACCCTAGACTTGAAATGGTTAAGACAGTAGTGAATGGAGAAGCATCCTTTTGAGAGTCTGTTACACAACATCGCAGAGTCCTGAGTGGAACTTCCTCCTTACCAATGGACCATGCAAGGAGTGAGGATGAATTAACCCTGTGTACGTGATATGGTAAGACCAAGTCGGAGAGGTCTGGACTGGTGGAATAAAAGGAAAATAATTTGTGTGAATATCGACCATAACAATAACAACAGAATAGCGAGAAGCACGCAACGTTTCATCTGTGGGAAATGGGTTGAAGAGTGGAAAAGAATTTATTATCGACAAGATGCTTTTGAAATCTGTCAGGGCTATATATATATATATATATATATATATATATATATATATATATATATATATATATATATATATATATATTACTGTAAGTTAGTTCAGATGTTTGAGAGCTGCAAGTCATGAACAAGATTTACACATATGTTTTTGTTACATACACATTAACATTAAACTTATGTTTTAATCCAATGGAATCTCAATTCATACCCAGCAAATAATTAGAAAGTTTGAAAATTTTCTTATTTAGCTTTTATATTAACTGTGATGAAAAAAGGAGCTGAGGTAATATATTTCAACGCGCCACATAATTAAAAAACCACAGAGCTGTATGTGGCTCGTGGGCCGCATAATTAAAAGACCAAAGAGCTGCATGTGGCTCGTGGGCCGCATAATTAAAAGATCAAAGAGCTGCATGTGGCTCGTGGGCCGCATAATTAAAAGACTAAAGAGCTGCATGTGGCTCGTGGGCCGCATAATTAAAAGACCAGAGAGCTGTATGTGGCTCGTGGGCCGCATAATTAAAAGACCAAAGAGTTGCATGTGGCTCGTGGGCCGCATAATTAAAAGATCAAAGAGCTGCATGTGGCTCGTGGGCCGCATAATTAAAAGACCAAAGAGTTGCATGTGGCTCGTGGGCCGCATAATTAAAAGATCAAAGAGATGCATGTGGCTCGTGAGCCGCATAATTAAAAAAACCAAAGAGTTTCATCTGGCTCGTGAGCCGCGATTTGGTCACCCTTGGTATATTCGTTCATTTTCTTTTTCGCTTTTTTATTTTCCCAATGTATTTCATTTCTATTTTATTCCTTCTTGTTTCATTTCTTCTTTTAGTTCTTTTCTTCCTGTTTTTCATTTTTCTTCTAAGTTTCTTTTTCCCTTTTTCTTTAATCATTTGTTTTACCAAAACGTGTTTTCTTGTTGTCTTGATGTTCTTTTTATGCTTGTTCATTTTTCATTCTTTTTGTCTTTATGCAATTTTTTTCTCTCTCTTCTTTTTATACGTTTGTGAGTCTCCCAACTCTTTAGTTCGTCAATAATGGCGGCACACTCCGGACAAATGAAAACAATAAAGGCTTCAATAGAATATATTGTTAGAGACCGATAACACACACACACACACACACACACACACACACACACACACACACACACACACACACACACACACATGTACACACGCATATAAATATGCACACACCCACACACATATATATGCACACACACATATATAGATAGATTAATAAATATACATATACCAACGTTCGAAGTGCAACTGAAAGTTTCGTGCACGCTGACGCATATATACACTGTTGCTAATATCTAGTTATTTGTTTTCTCTACATTGATACATACATACATACATACATATATATATATATATATATAGGTTAATCTAAATTAATACACATATATATACGCACACAGTGGGGCAGAGAGACGGGCAGATAGAGGAAGGCTAAGAGAAATAAAGAAAGTGAAAGATATGTATATTTCTCTTTCACTTTTCCCCACACACATTTACATATGTGCACACACGCACACACACACACACACACACACACACACACACACATATATATATATATATATATATATATATATATATATATATATATATGTGTGTGTGTGTATGTGTGAAGACGTATACACATACGCATATTGGAATATATGCTTGTTTGCATGTCTGTAAATACACATAATTGTACATTTGTCCACGTATGTGAATAGGTATATATTTATATATCCGGGTAGTAATTACTGAGTGCTCCATGCAATTTTTCACATTAAATAACACAACAAGGGTTGATATGTAAAATCAGAAACCTAATCCAAAGTTATATTAAATTCAACTAACACAACTAAGCACAAAAATTTAAATATCTGGGAAGTGTTCTAACAAACGACGGAAAATGCGACATGAAATCCAAAGACGCATTGGGATAGTCAAAGATGCCTTCAAAAAGCTAAGCAGTGTATTAAGAGAGAGAAAAAACTTCACTAGAAACAAAGAAAAGAATAGTGAATTGTTACGTGATATCTGTCCTTCTGTATGGACAATCTCCTCAAAGATGAAGAAGAAATGTGGTTCTACAGAAGGGTGCTAAAGATACCATGAATCGAACATATGAGCAACGACGAGGTTTTAGAGAAAGTGCAAACAAATACTTAACATCAGCAAAAGTCAATTGAAATTTCTATTGCACATAATTGAGGAAAGAGGGATTGGAAAATATGTTACTCACAGGACGGATGGAAGGCACGAGGACAGTGGAAAACAAAGCATAATATATTTGACGAACTTGAGAAAATGGATAGAGGAACAAGGTTTAGAAATAAGGAAAAGACAGAATTTATTTAGAGCTATAAGTGACGGGAAATTGTGGAGAGCCATGATCGCCTATGTCTTGAGGGAAGACGGCGCATAAACAGAAAGAGTTACGTCTGTCAAATACTTTATTTTGCACATCCGGATCAGAGTTGCTGATAAACTGTCCAAAACTAATGTTTTTGTCTGTTTTTTTCGAGTAATTTCTATCGCCTCGTATATATATATATATATATATATATATATATATATATATATATATATATATATATATATATATATATATATGTAAGCAAATATATGGATATAGATCCGACAGTATGAAGAAAAATATACTGAAAAAACAAACAAAAATCCTAATATGCGATTATGCTGTTTTAATGTTTAATGTCAACGTCGGACGTTTCGGTCTAATAGACCATCTTCAGGACATATTTATAAAACATAATTAACATAGACCATATACAATTCAACATGAAAAAGACGATGGACATAAAAGCAATACCAATCCAAACAGATAACTGAAATCTTTTATAAGATCAGCGTTCCGTTTAAATATGATCACGTCGTCGTCACGTGGGCGATGTTGTGAAAACGTATTCCTAAAATTTGAGTATTTTGAATGAAAAACGAAAAGAATTTTATTTTGATCTAAAACTTATATGTACGTTATTTCAGGACTTCATTAAATGTGTTATGTTGGTATGACTACACATGCGCACGAATGAGGGGTGCTGGGGATTTTAGAATTTATTTTAGAAATTTTATTATATAATATCTAGTCGATTTCATTTAGAGACTTTTTCTTTTTCTTTCCATCACTTTTGTTATTTGAGATTTTTGACATAAAAGTGCTACTCTGATCAAAGGAGAAATAATTCACTACGACACAAATGTCTAGAGAGTGCCTTGATCGAAAAGTCATCTACAATAAATTTGCGCCCTGGCTCTTACAACATTTCACCATTCCTGGTGCATCTTCTATTATCAAAGTGTAGGATATCTACTAACAAAAGTGATGGAAAGAAAAATAAAAAAAGACTCTAAATGAATTCGGCTAAATTAAAAAATAAAAAATTACCAGCATCCCTTATTCGTGCGCTTGTGTAGTCGTACCAACATGACAAATTTAGTCCGATGATGTCCTGAAGAACGGAATACGTCACAAGTAAACTTTTACACTTTGTCATACATTTTCTCCAGTACTGTTCTAGATATATAAAAAATCGTTATCTTATTTATCTATCTATCTATCTATCTATCTATATATATATATATATATATATATATATATATATATATATTGTGCACTTTTCCCCTCTTACTCGTCTTTCTCTCTTCGCTCCTTTCTCTTAGCTTTCTTTACAATCGACAAAAGAACGTATGCCTCGGCGTGCCAACTAAAATTCCAGTGTTTGATTTTCTTTTTTTTTTTTTCCGCCTATGACAAACAGACTGGCTAGCAAACAAAGAAGTCAGGCTAGAGTAATCGACCTTCAGACTCACACGCGCCGGGTGCAATCTCATTATCGAGAAGCCAGAAGGCCCGAGAGGCATCTCAACAAAAGAAATTGCTTAGTACAACAACAACTTAACAGACAAACAACAGGAATAAATTTAAAATATTTTAATTAGTTTTCGTTTTCTGTCAGCAGCTGAACGAGCAATTATCGGAAGATCGGTAAAACCACACAGTCACAAACAGCCCAACTCACTTATACAGTATGAGCCGAAAGTTACAGTAATTTTTATTCGCTGTCTTTAAAAATCAGTGTGTATGCGTGTATATACTTGCATGCATATGCGTGTGTGTGGTGGTGTGTGTCTATTTAAGGATTCAAACATGTCTATTATGTTTCTTTTTAAAATTATTTTTTCTAGCTAAAATTAGTTTCTTGATCTTAAGTTGAAATTCCACAAGGAAGGCGTCGTAGCTTTTGCTAACCCAAGTACTTTATATACATATATACATACATATATAAAGAAATATAGTTTTAAGGTGTGCCATATTTATGGGGTAAAGTGCTCAATATCAGAGATTTAGCGTGTGTAAATATAAAAGTGAACTTTGAGGTCAACACTTAGAGGCGACAGGCTGTTTCATGGTAGACGCAATCGTCAGACCACGAGTGTTATGTTTTTTTCTCGGCTATTTATATATACGGGTCAGTGGTGAATTGTGGGTAGTCTATTTTGGCGGTTATTTTACCGGAAGTCGTTTATTTGTTAAATTATTTTGCTTGTTTTTATTTATTTTTTATTTTTATTTCTTATCTTATATACATATTTATTTTTATTTTAATCTGTGTTTTATTAAGGTAGCAAAACTTATTTAATAGTTTTGTTTTGGTTTGGGAAGATAATTAAAGATTTTTAGTTTGATTTTTATAGTCTAACTAATGTTTTGGTCATAATGGTTTGTTAATTTGTTTATTGTTTCGTTCATTGATTTTGTTTTTATTTTTCATTTATTTATTCTATTTCGTCTATTCTAACGGGTGTGATTTGGTAATTTGTTTGGGTTAATTTATTTTATTGTAATTTTGTTTATTTATTTATCTATTTAATTTTATTTTCTCAGTTTTCGAATTTTAAATAAGGTAGTAAAAATTTGTTTCCATGTCTGCATTTTGAGATGAGCTCGGATCGTTTATTTAATAATTTATATTGGTCTGGGAAGGTAATGATTGCTATTTTTTCCTCCAAGTGCAAGTTTTGGATTGGTTGTTGTAGGCTGATGATCTTTTCTTTATTTTCCAAGATATTTTTGGTGTGATGTGCGTTTTGTTTTTAATTTCCCAGATATACTTAGAAAGCATTGTGCTGCTCGCGTACTTACTATTTGTGAAAGATGTTTTGAGTGCATTATATCTTTGTATCCAGTGTCCATCAGTTATTCCTATGTATATTTCTTCTTCATTATGTGGTGATTTTGTCGTGGTTTGGTATATTATGTTTTTTGTAAGCAATTACTGTTTAAGGGACATTCGTTCTTTATTCTGCAGTTACACGTGGGTTTAATTTGAACAGGCTGTTAATACAGTATAATAAATAAATAATAAAAAATAAGTAAAATAAATTAATTTTATTTCTTTATATATATATATATATATATATATATATATATATATATATATATATATATATAAAAGAGATATAGTTTTAAGGTGTGCTATATTTATGGGATAAAGTGCTCAATATCTTAGATAGAGCGTATGTAAATATAAATATAAAAGTGAACATTGAAGTCAACACTTGTTGACACAGGTTGTTTCATGCTAGACGCAATCACAGGCGGCCTGACGATTGCGTCTACCATGAAACAGCCTGTCGCATCTGAGTGTTGATTCAATGTTCACACACACACACACACACGCTCATATATATATTGCGAGTTATATTTTTACTTCAAAATTTTATTACTTCAAACATTTTATAGTGGTTATTTGTATTTGAAATAAATGCCCTATTTTTATGTTAAATAATATATATATATATATATATATATATATATATATATTATTACATATATATAATTATATATAGATATATAATTACATATATATATAATTTCATATATTATAATTATATATATATATATAATTATATATAGATATATAATTACATATATATATAATTACGTATATATATATATATATATATATATATATATATATAATTAGACACACACACACACACACACACATATATATATATAATGAATTAATGGATTTAATTTAATTCGACATTTTATTACTTCAAACGTTTTATAGTGGCTACTGTATTTTTTATTTTACACCAAAGATATATATATATATATATATATATATATATATATATATATATATATATATATATATCAGCATGCACTATATAAAATATATACATGTTGGAACAGAAATATTAAATTGACCTATATGAAATGTCATATTTTGATGAATTGCACAAAAAAAAGTAACAACAAAAAATATTCAAATTTAATAAAAGTAAAATCCGATTTTTTCTACGATTTCCTGCGGACGTATTTCTAAGCCATCTTTATCTCATTCTCTAAAACTAACTTCTTTTTGCTTTAATAAAATGTTCCAATGCTTCGACTACTTCGTCACTCTAACAGGATTTTTGTTACGTTGACATTTTCATACATAACAAAAAAACCTGTTAGAGTGATGAAGTAGCCGAAGCATTTGAACATTTTATTAAAGCAAAATATTTATTAAGTAAGATGGATACTTGAAAATCTCCTAAACAAGTAGGTGCAACTTTTGAGCGATGAATCGTGGAATGAAAAAGGTGTGCATTGTCATAGGTCAGAATAGGGCAATTTTTATTCTCGTCTTATCCATCTTTTTCATCTTTAAATATTTTTTTAAATGCTGACAGATCAAGCAGTCTAACTCAATTTGGAGGGGTGAACAGAAGATAACTGATAATTGACATCCATTAGACGTGGCACGTATAACTAGAACAGTCTACCCCAGCGAGCGAAATAAAGGGTTCAGTTCGACATTCTAACCACCTGAAGAAGGCCAGAGCGTACAACGGCCGGAACGTTGTGATAAATATGGCAACAAAGATGAGGACTATAGTTCGAATAATGTAAATAGTGCAACCCTAATTAAAAAAAAAAAAACAAAAAAAAACATAATTCTTTACGCCGAAAATATTTCGAGGGAATCTTGATAAATATTTTACTAACTAGAAACACACGTCAAGAACACTATATTAAATAACCAACCTTTATTATATCCATTTTTAAAGAATCTGACGTATGTTTATCTACCCTTACCACAACCGGTGTTTACGTAAAAACGTCCCCAAATAAACATGCAGACAACCACCAAACATAGATAATGCCTACTAAATACACACACGCGCACGCGCAAACACAAACATACATAATTATACAAATATACGTTATCTTGCACAGACATACTAGAATTGTGATACACTTACATTAAAATTATACACACGGACGTTGCTTGGCAAATCAAATGCAAGTGAAACCAGCTTAACCAATTAAAATAGAACAACACAAAAGTAAAAATATCAGAATTTCTCTTTCTTCGTGTATCATTTTCTGTTGAAGTTTTAATAAAAGCGAAACTTACGTTTATAAACGTTTCCTATTTGTTTCTTATCCTATTATTTACATGTATATATAGAATATATATGTTTATATATAAGAACTCTGAGTAATTAGATCCTTCACGTTCCCACCATGAGACTCGAGTTCGATTCTCACCATGGTCAATTTCTCAAGAAGATGACCTTAATGTTATCAGTTTGTGTTAGATGATTCTAGTGAATTGTGCTTTTGACAAGTTCCTGCGTAATCCCAACACGTTTGATCCAAGATTGTTGTGTGAAACTGAGCAAACAAAACCATTCGGTATCCGTCGATGTTTGTGCTAGCGCAGATTCACAAGTCATCGTGACCGAGGGTTTCAGCGTATTGGTTTTGTTCAAACTATTGATCACGTCAAATTTAGACACTCTTCCCCAGAAACTGTAACCAAGTTCCACACAGCATAGATGCAATATAAACCAGGTTGGTCCCGTGTGTGTTGGAGAAATGAAAATTTGCCTGAGCAGGTTGCAAACAGAATTTAAGGATTAAATATTTTTCAGCAGGATCTTCTTCTGTGTAAATGCACTTAATTCAGTGGCGTCTTAATCATTCATATAGGACAATACACACATTTATTTTCATTTAATGTCTACATGTCAGGCTACGAATTTATTAATCTCGCTTTTTAACCATTGCTCCATGGAGATGCAGACACATTTATTAAGCTTAGTATAGTCTGACACAAGGTCATTGTAGAGGAGAACAATGGGATGATCTAATTCGTTACATCGAACTAGTTTGCGAAAAGCATTTACTAAATATCACGCAATGGGAAGTGATTGTGTGTATTTTATACGAGGATATGGTGAAAAGACTGCTTGGGCATAGCAGGTCCTGTAAACATGGATGTGCAGGTGGTGCAATGGATAATTAACTCAGAATTGTTAATCGGAGAGCCGAGTTCTAATTCCCGATGGGTCCGTTATATTCACTTATGCTCATATACCCTTGGGAAAGTTATCAGTCTAACGTTTCTCCTCCAGTTATGGGTTAATTAGTAAATCTTCTATCACTAAACCATTATTTATCACTAAAAAAAAAAGGGCTTAGAATCTAAAAATATTTTCTGCCTTTGAATAACCTGTAAAGGCTTGATAAACCTTAAAAAACGGAAAAAAACATATACTGAAAAGTTAATAGATTTTATAATACGATATTTATCATTATTAACCGTGATATATTAGTATCGTTTGAGTAGACATTGATGTTTATTAAACTGTTTAATTAATGTTCACCGGCCTAGAGTTCGAAAGTCCTACCAAAGTATTGGCTTGAAGGTTTGATTCCAGTCGGTATGTGCATTTTCTTTGTTACAGCATTCGATTTCGAGCGCGCTGGACGTTGATTTCTTTTTAAAACAGAGCTATCTACTCAAATATATGTACCAACTAAAATATAACATATATATATATGAGAGAGAGAGAAAGAGAGAGAGAGAGGGGGGGGGAGAAAAGCTTTTATTTGTGCGTAGTGTAAAGCCCACTCCACATAAATGACCTAATTTTGAAAAAAGCTTCCACCTGCCCGCACTCCGTGCTCTGCGCTTTGTCGGTGACTATTGTCGGTGTTTATCAACCGTGCTCGAAAACCCCTTCTCTGCTCCTTTTCTAACACCGTACGGAACCCAGTAACCCTTCCTACTTCTGCCCCACCCCTCTCTCTGTCTACATCAGTCACTTCATATCTACCGAAGTGTGTTCAAATCTATCTATCTATCTATCTATCTATCTATCTATCTATCTATCTATCTATCTATCTATCTGTTTGTATGTATGTAGCTATCTATCGATATATCTATCGAAGTCTGTTCAGATCTATCTATCTATCTAAAATTGTCTTTGTCTAAGTCATTTTGAGTGATAGATCGATACATACATACACACATACATGCATACATACATACATACATACAGATATACCTATCTGTGTGTATGTATATATGTATCTATCTATCTGAATGACTTCTACTGGACAAAAACAATTTTAGATAGATAGATCTGAACAGACATAGATAGATACATACGTACATTCATACATACAGGTATAGCTATCAATGTGCATGTATGTACGTATATATATATATATATATATATATATATATATGTATGTATGTATGTATGTATGTATGTATGTATTGCCTTTGTCCAATAGAAGTCATTTAGATAGATAGATAGATAGATAGATAGATAGATAGATAATGATACATACATACATACATACATACGTACGTACACAAATATATCTATCTGTGTGCATGTATGTATGTATGCATCTCTCTATCTATCAATCTATTTAAATGACTTCTACTGGAGAAAGGCAATTTTAGATAGATAGACTTGAACAGATATATATATATATATATATATATATATATATATATATATATATATGTGTGTGTGTGTGTGTGTGTGTGTAATTATTTAAAAAAATATGATTCTTTTGCCACATAAGAGTTCCCATGTTTCAAAACAATAGACAAAAAACTCAATATAGTTATATATTATATTTAGATAGATAGATAGATATCCTAAATTTTCGCTTGAGGATGAAACAGAGCTTGATACTTTAATTCAATTTAATTTTAATAATTATATTGATGTTTTTGGCCCTTGTTTTTAAAACATGAGAACTTTTATGTAGCGAAGGAATCATTTTTTTTTTTAATAATTATAATTTAAACTTTACTTCTTTATGGAGCACTGTTTTTTAAAAACAAAAATACTAAGGAACTCCGGATTATTTACCTAACGTGTTCTTTTTCTGCATTTTTCAGACACACACACACACACACACACACACACACACACACACACACACACACACACACACACACACACACACACACACACATATCTATCTATCTATATATATGCATACAAATATATCTATTTTGTGTGTGTGTGTGTGTGTATGTATGTATGTATGTATGTATCTATCTATCTATCTAACTATCTATCTATTTAAATGGTTTCTAATGGTCAAAGGCAACTTTTGCACAAGTCCAAATATGTGTCAAAACTTGTGACACTAGCAATATTTTTATATATCGATATATTTCCTGTTCGAATGGTGCAATGGTGGCTTCCGGTTCTATTCGTCATGTCACATTTCGAATGTTGACTTTCAGCATTGGAAAGCAGGTTCGCTGCATTGGGTTTTTTTACCACCGCCCCCCCCCACTGGATTCAAAACATCAGTGTCATCTGCTGACCCATGAAGACATTTGGTGGAGACAGTAATGAGTTTGCTTCGGTCATTACTGATTGAAAAGGCGTGTCGGCTCCTCGCCCGTGGAAGATTAGTTCCAGAGAACTGATTCTATGTCCTACCAATACTCAGAAGATTTATTTGTAGAAATCAGCAATATCTACACGAATTATCGACGTGTGAGTTGGTTTGATTGATTGTATGATATATCCGCATTTACTCAAGTATAGTGTGACTTTTCATAGAAGGTCGAACTATATACAGATAATGTTTTTTTGAAGAGCTTAAAAATCATTCCTTTTCCGTGACTCGTTGTACTCTACACGGATAATTATTTCTGGATAAATTGTCGTCTAAATTACACAAAAAAGAAAATAGCACTGACATCACATTTTAACATATATTTACCAAAATTACACAAAAATATCTTCAAATACTAAAGAGTAAATTTATTCAATTAAATCGCCTTCGGCTTCAACCACGGCCTCCAGACGACTTCGAAATCTCCTGCAACTATTCTTGTCAGGTCTCCTTGTTTAAGCTGGTGTATGTTGCCATAATCCTGGTCTCTAGTTCATCTTTGATGTTACAGGGGTTTTTGGGTCTCTCGCTCAACTGCGCCCCACTCATTATAATCAAGGGAGTTGCAGTCTGGAGAGTTAGGTGGCCAGATGTGAGGGTTGATGTGGCTACAGAAATTGTCTGACAGCCATGACTATGTTCTCCTGCTTGTGTGGTATGATACAGAGTCCTGTTGTTAGACAATAGGGTCTTCCAGCAGCAGCCCTCTTGACCCAGGGCATCACTACCTCCTCAAACATTTGATGTAGGTCTCTGTGTTGAGTCTGAGGCTCTGTGTGAAGAAGAATGGAGGCATAACGTCGCCATTATTAGTGATAATTCCAAACACCTTTGTAATCACCTTCAGACTCATACAACTCTTTCCGAATCCTCTGAACTGTCCTCAGATTGACAACTAAACACTCTGAAATGTTCGTATTAGAGCTTCCAGGACAGTATGCCGTTTTCAAATTTCTGGCAGAGTGAATTGCGTCATGGTGCTCTTTTTCACAGAGACGGTGCCCAACTGACCCTACCTACTATACTATGCAGTCTACAAAATCAAAAACAAATAACGCCCATGCGCGAAATTAAAAATATAAAATGGCGACAATTTACCCATTGCATCCCGTGCATGAAGTCGAATTATATACGGGTGTGTATGTTTACAACCGTTGTTGGATTTTTTAATGTTGAAATAAGTCTTTCTTTTACAATGTTTGAGTCTATAAGCATTGACTTGGTTCGAGGAGGATGTGCGGGTGGTGTAATTCACTATTTACAACGAATTATTCTTAAAATAAAAAATGTCTTGTCTTGGCTTAAAAAAAACAGAATCAACAGCTTGGTTGGGTATTGGTAATTATTGATCGTTCGAATTTGATTTTATTTCGCTCGGGAACCGATACATTAATTTTTGGAACCACCAAGAATTCCTTAAAAAAACACCCTAAAATGAAATATTTTTTAATTTTTTAAAGTAAAAGATAAAATTTCACTAACTACATTGTATTTGCTTTTATTTTGACAAAAATTAAGCACTTACGTGTAAAGGTTTATCATACATCATATTTTGTTTTAGTAAATAAAAGAATCACCTACCTTAATTACTGCAAGTAGGTATGTAGATGACACGAATATTTACTTCTGTCTTAGTAGCAAATCCGACAAAGTAAAACTAACCGCTTGCGAAATGGACCGCTAATTAGTGGTTAACTTGGGCAAGGAATGGCTTGTAAATTTCAAAACCCCCTGAACAAAACAGCTTTCATTTAATTACTACAGAGAACCTTTTCTGCCTGCCATCAGCGTAGGCTGGTGTTAACCTCCAGGAGAGCAACACTTTACGCCTTCATGGACTCACATTTTTACTGACATGAAGAGGAGTGATTTCATTGAATCAACTGCTAGATCTACTACTAGGAAAGTTGGTTCACTGTGTCGTGCCAAGCAATTCTTCCCGTCACAATCCCTCTGGCACATTCATAAATCTACCATTCGTCCGTGCAGAGAATATTGATGCCATATTTGGTTTGGTGCTCCTGTTATATATCTCGAAAAAATTCAAAGAAGGATCTGCAATGTTATCGGTCCTGATCTGGCATCTCGACTTCACTCACTTTCTCATGACATCACATAGCTTCCTTATGTCTTTTTTACAAATATTTTCATTCATTTTTTCGTTACTGCCTCGACTGCATGAATTTAAGCGTTCTATTAGACTGGCAACTAGGTCTCGCCGTTTTATTATTGAACTAGCTAGATGCAATCGTCTCTTTTATTCTAATAGTTTCTTTTCTCGTACTTCTCGCATGTGGAACTCCTTTACGCTTTCTTGCTTCCCCGACATCTATAATCTTCAAAAATTTAAATGCAACGCCAATCGTAATATGTCTTCTTGAAATTCTGTTCCTTTATTGTCCTTTGCTTCACCTCTCCTCACTAAAGTTTTCTCATTCTCTCTCACTTCCTGTAACCGCCTGCGTCCTAGTCACATTATCGAATTCCTTGCGGTGAAATGATTTTAAAATGTTAGGGACAACCTGTCTAGAAGGAGAATTTTGAATTCAAAACCGCGGAGAAGACAATATGAAACTAACCCACTCTTTTTTTTACTAATGTTCAATCTATATAAGCCTAAGAGCAACTCAAGCTAGAGGGTTACTGAAGGAGGTTGTTGTATGCGCGGTAAGAGTAAGAAATAAAAAACGTAAAATATGTGTGAAAGATAACGATATACCCTAGGCTTGAGTATATTAAGATTGTAGTGGTCGGAAAAGCAACCTCTTGAGAGTCGGTTCCATAAAGTAGCGGTTCTTGAGAAGCTGTTCGAGTAGAACTATTACTAATGGAATACAAAGAGAATGAGGATGGTTCGATTCAATATACATAGCATGGTGTGTCATAGCTAGACGGTTAGAATTGATTGAACTCGAAAATGTAGCTTGTCAAAACATTTTGATAGCGATAGAGCAGCAAAAGGCTAGCATAATTCTGTGATGTTAGCCTGCTTTTTATATACAGTAATGTTTTCTCTTATGGTCAAAGTGATTTTATAATGTTTTTTAATGTACTGATAGTTTGCTTTAAACTTGTTAAGTTTTTTTAATGCCATATCTCTGTAGGACGTAGGTGATCACGGTTCTCCACAGAACTTTATTTCACTCTGAAACATTTTCTTTCCCGTTAAATATCGTGGCGTACGAGTAACGAGGCATTTTTGCTACAATATCTGACGATTCTACAAAGAGCTATAAGAAGTGTATTCATGCCTTTTCCAAGGGCAATAGTACGAAATGGCAATAAACAACATCAGTTGTCATTTGATCTCTGTCAATTCAATTTTCTTTGTATAGTCTAACGTAGTTTTCTTTGAATATACTCACGTATTCTGATATGTGTGTATGAAACAAGCGGGTAAAAATGCCCCGTTCCAAATGATATTAACCTTAACAGACAACTTTGTGAAAATAACAATGAAGATCGACTGAAGAAAATAAAAGCAAGCTGGATTTGCTGTTTTACGTTCAGCGTTTAATTAATACGCTTCTTTGAAAAGACTG